CCCCCGCGTGGAGCATCGCCGGGAGCGCACCCAGGACATGCAAATTTCCGTTTCTATTGCATAATAATCACGCCTGTTTCATTGTGTGTGTGTGTGTTTGTAGAACGCCCCGCCATTGTTGGCAGCCGTGCGGAATGCGCGCCAACAATTGGTCATTATGACCACTAATCCAGCAATAGAGGCGGGCGCCGGCGCCATCGCCGCCGTCAACACAGGCTGCAGAACCACCGCCGGCGGCGCTGCGGCAGTTTTTCACTTTCCTAGAATAAAGATCATAGAGCAAAGCGAGAGAAGAAAGAGAGAGAGAGGGGGAGAGGAAGGAAAAGGACAGAAAGCGAGCCTCTCTTATTGGCGGCAAAACAGCCTGACACTTCTCCAGCGGCGGTGTGGCGGGGACAGCTGCCGCCGCTGCTGCAGGGCGTGCGTGCTAACAATGCCCGGAAAGGGGGGCCCCGCCGGCCCCGCCACGCCCCAACAACTCGCCAACAATATCGCGGCCCTATTAACGTATTCCCCTTTGTGCGCGCGCCAATACGGGAAAACAAATGGAAAATCAAGATAATGCGCGGAGGTGGTGGCGCAGCGCGCGCAGCGACCAACCAGCGCCGCCCTTTGGGTAGGCGGATAACGATTTCTAATTCAATGACCGGCCGCGCCCCCGCGGCCCCCGCGCACCTGCGTCACACACACACACACACACACACACACACACACACGCACCCCGGGGTTAGTTTCGCAATGTCCGTGTATATATTCGACCCGCGCCGCTGCTTCGGCCGTGGCTCGGCTGACCTAGGCTGACCCGATCCCGATGATCACCCTGCCCACTTCCGGTCAGGCCGGGTCACAGGACGACACAAACGTGGCGCGCGGGAAAGTTGAAATAATCACAGCCCTCTGTATGCACGGCAAACAAAACGGCCGGCCGCGCTGTCGAAGGCTCAGCGGGGCGCTGACATTTCGCATAATGCCATCGCGCGTCCCAAGCAGTCCGTATAGCCCCCTTTTCACCCCCCTTCCCTCTCTCTCTCTCCCCCTCCTTACCTCCCTCCCTTCCTCCCTCTCTTTTCTCTCTCTCTTCTCTCTCTCAATCCCCTCTTCGCGCACACAGATGTCTATCAGGGTTCAGCTGCGCGGTGGTGGGACAGTTCCTTCCCCCTGACATCACTAATTGCCGATTCGATTTCAAAGTTCCCGCTTTATGTAAGCCGAAGGCAATGAACCTCGCCTTGCCCCAACCTGACCAAATGACGCGCAAAGCAGATCGCAAGGGCCAAGGGCGATGCGTTGGCACCACGTCGTTCATGAAGGAAGATGCAGACAAATCGAAGGAAGACGAATTGCCCTTATCCTTATTAACAGAAACGCGATGCAAGTTATACGCAGTATGAGCAACGTCTGTTGTCTGTTACTGTTGGAGAGTAGTTGTGTGATTTTTTCCTCTAGTCTGTTAGCGGCTCAGCGATCCGCATGAGAATCACTTCGTTTTGTTTTTTTGTATCGCCGCACGGTGTCGGCGAACCTAACCTCTCCTGCCGCTACTTTCCAGCTCTCAGCGGCGTGCAGAGCACAAGTCCAGTAGGCAGGCGCAGCGGTACCGCGGCGGTACTGTCTCCTGCACACGACTCGGCCCAGGAATGTCGACAAACTGCGGACCAGGCTCAAGAGTGCCAACCGCAACAAAACAGCGACACGACGCCGCGCCGCTGTGGTGGCGGCACTGGCGGCGGCGGGGCCTTGAGTCACGGCAGCCAACCAAATTAGCGCCCGCCGCACTACGCATTACTATTTGTCCCTCTAAATCACGATCACGTTAGCGTTTTATTTTAACGAGGGCTTTTATATTTTATCTCACGCCATACCACCTCCACCGCCACCGGGGCCCGGGCCGCCGCCGAGCAAAACGCGCGTGCGCGCCAGCTCCGCTCCCACAAGCAGCGCCAGCGGGCAGCAGTACTCTGCGAGGGATGCAGAGAAAGAGAGAGGAAGAGAGGGGAAACGAAAAAGATGAAGAGAGTGGGGAAGTATAAAATTAACGTGCTAATGCGGGCATTCCCCGCGCCCAGACAATGCCGCGCCCGCCGCGTTCTGCCCTTCATTAGTCTGTAATGTGTGACTATGTGCACAATGCCCCGCCCACCGCAGCCCCGCCCCGCCCCGCCACGCCCGGCGAGCGTGATAGAGCTCTCAAAGGCAATGGGCGATCGCCCTAATAGTGGCCAGCCACACAACCGAGGAGCGGGGCGCACGCGAGGGAGGGGCATAAACGTACACTGCCAAGCTAGTGGCGCGGAAAAGTATTTTGCTTTCAACAAGAGGTCCCCTCGGGGCGCTTTTATGGGCATGTATATTTAGTATATACGATACGTAGCACCAACAGCTTGAACGGATTTAAAGTTAAAAGTCTGCCAGATCAAACGTTGTGTTTTCCAGGAAAAAAATGACTCTCAGTGTAAACTTGAAATTTGTTTCAAGAACTGATTTCGTCTTGATTTATAACAAGGAAATTTTAACAACGTTGCAAGATTGAAGATGCAAACTATACTTTGATTGCTGATTTATCAGCATACAATGTACACTGTTGGGATTTTAGAGTGTTCAATCAAAAAGTGGCGTTGGTGTTACGTCTGTCTACTACGAGTGACTTTTGAGATTAAAATAAACGAACTTCTCTTCCAAGTGGGCAGTGCTAGCTGGTTTAAAGTCACAAGCTCTGAGAACCTGGGGATACAATTTGTCACGAAACATAGTGTGCCGACCGAGGGAAAAGGAGGAAGTTGACTGCTTTTACAGCAAAACAATTGCCTCGGGTTCATAAAATTACTGTCAAAGGTGCATGCTTCGAGGATTTAAGGCCGAATAAAATTTAAGCTTGTGCCCGATGATACGGTAAGCGACTTTATTAGAATAAGCACCGCATCACAGCTCGATAAAGACAAGGAACTGGCAGGTTCGTTTTACGACTCAGTAACGCCCATGTCGGGGACATCCTTTCGAATGTGTCCGGAGGAGGAAGCAAGCAAGGGAGGCACGCAGGAAGGACGAGTGGAGGGGGCCCGGGGGCCCGGGACAGGAAGGGGGGAAGGGGGGGGGGAGGGCGACAGATCGGCAGGAGCGCCAGATAATCACCCGCGGGAATGCATTCTAATTGACTACTTTCCCAACTCGCGTGCGGCGGGACACACGACACTGGAGTCAATAAAGACCGCAATG